ACTGAGAGACATTTACTCTTTGATCCTAAACAACGCATCAAGCATAAGTACAACACACTACTGAATTTGATTACTACTGAAATGTTCTGAGCTTATAAAAATTCTTGCAGTCTGAGTGGACACATCTGGATTTGCTACGCAAGCCAATGAATCGCCTGCGATTTTGAACGCGATTTTGCGTAGCTTGTCAGTGATCTACGGCTCGGTGTAGTAAATGCCGCTCCATCTGAAAGCACGTGCTGGAGATTTACTACTAATCACAGAACCGACTTTACTGATGAGATGAGCATGAAAATCACATTCGATTTTTTGCACAGCCCTAGTTGTTTGTGCTTATTTTTGTTTTTTAGTTTTGAAAAAGTTAAATTAAAAAAGTAACTTCACAACTGTAATTGCTTTAATATTTTATGAAGCAGGCAAATGTTTTGCATCCAATTATCTGTCCCACTGGACAGCATAGGACGGACACAAAAATAGAATAAGCTGGCATAAAGCAGATCTGTAATGTGCACGATGCACAGATCACCAAGGCTTCCCACAATCCAGCGTGAAGTGCAGCATAATTTCAATTCATCTTAGGCTAACAAATCGTTTCAAGGGTTTCCTTTTGGAAACAAACAAACAAAAATGCATTACAAAAAATTATAGAAATAGTATTCTGACAGATTAGGTAGACCAAAAAAAGCATATTCAGAACGAATATGATGGCTAATTGAAGCCAGCCCCACAAGGCTGAGTGTATGGAAATCAGCCAGTGCTTTTCCTAGAGCTATGCACCGCACTCCATAATCTACGTCCAAATTATTAGCACTTTTTCCCCTCTTCCGAATGTCTGCATACCTATCCTGGCAGAGCCAGCTGTTCCATGGCACCCTGACTTTAAGACCTGAAGTGAAATGCTAGTGTGCTCCAGGCTAGAAGATAAAGATCGCAGGGGAGGAATAAACTCATTGAGAGGCGAGGGTAACAATGGAGCGATATCTGTGTTTCGTATAGAATCTATGATAAAAAAGAGGCTAGAGAGACACACACACAAATGGAGGGCTCTTAGTCTTCCTTCATGACATGTTTATGGCTTCATATAATGTAGCTGCCACGTGGCAGTTGCCTTTAGTCATAGCTGCATTACAGATGACAGAGCGAGCTATTCTTTTAGACACTTATTCTTAGGTGCTGCAGGAACGTATGCAGTGGTGTTTTGCAGTTCTGGAAAAACACAAGAGAGGTGTTATGAGCAAACAGCTTTCCAGTAATGCAGATTCCTTTGGGAAAGGGTGTGAAAGAAACGTGAATTTACAGCTGCATGCTTGTTACTTCAGTGTCATTTGACGTAGTTGCATTAAAAGAACAGCTCAGCCAAAAATTTAATTCTGTCATCATTTTCCGACCATCATGTCATTCCAAACCTATATGACTTTATTTGCTCTTTGGAATAAAAAGAAGATACTTAGAAAAATGCCCATACAGTGTCCAAACAATGAAAGCCAATGGTGGTCAATGTTATTTAGACTAAAATAGTTTTTTGTAGACGTATTTTTGTAGGCCAACCCGGAAGCTCACATCACCATGGTTCCCTTGACAAAAAAACCTAAAAGATTTTTTCATTGGCTTTTGGATAATTGCAGAAAATAAGCTCAGTGGCCAAGAAAAGTTTATGATTAATTTCTTACATGTTTTTTTCATCATGATAATCTTCACAAATGAACACAACTTTCATGAAAGTAAGCCTTAACACAATCCCTAAAAGTAAAAAGCTAAACATAGGTACATGATGCTTGCATGACTTTAATGTCACTACCATTAATCTTCCGTCATCTCTTTCAGCTTTTATAAAAACAATTTAATTCCTGAAAATTATAATAGTTTGCAAGAGCACAATTCTAACATGCAGGTATTACTGATATATTTTTTGTTGTAGAAATTTTTTTTTTTAACTATCATGAGCTTATTTCAGAGTTTTAACCAAAAACCCATTGACTTCAGGATGATAGAACCAGAAGTGCCAAAATGCATAGTTTTGGCCTATAAAACTACGTCTTCTCTGTACCACTCCATATTCTTCAAAATATCTTCATACAGGTTTGGTATGACATGAGGTTGAGCACATGAAGGAATTTTCCCTATTCTTTTTAATAATAAAAATATAGAAATTAGAGATTGGGATCAAAAGGTTTGTGTTTGTTAGAGCCCTTGTGTCAAAACAGACCCTCCGGGCCCCTGTACGTGATGAAACATATCAACAGGGACACATTTGTCTGTTTTGCAGTAATGAGGCAGGAAGCACGTCTGGAGGATGCGCTTAAAAAAGTAAAAACGTGCGGAAGAGTTAATCACTTCCAAATAAAACAACAGGTCATACGAGACAAGACGGTTTCACCCCTCCTCCTTCCTCTGTGGAGATGGATAGGGAGCCAGGAATTAAACACGTAGAGCGTTTTCCAAATCCCACCCTCTCATCCCTCCTGTTTGTACAGTGGATCTGTTTAACTAATTTCCCTGTGGCTGCATTGGCCCTTTGCATTGTGGGTTTATCAGCAGAGAGCATTCACAGGTGTGTGGACATCAAGACGGATCACTGCTGGAAACCCAACAGGAGGGTCAAAGGGTTGAGATATCTCACAAAAGCAATTAGTGGCGTTTATGTGAAGCTGTCAGAAGGGTGATAACATATGCTTGCTGAAAGGAATGCAGGATTGATTTTACACTATAAAAAAGACATCCATCTATAGTTCGCCAACCTTGACATTATTGATTTTACACTATCAAAATACTGACACAAATGAACCAATCTTCCGTTCACTTAAAGGATGAACGTGACAGCTCCTTTTAATTATGTTTCGGAAAGGGCGGATCATCTTGATGAATAAACTGCTCCATCCTCCACTCACAAGGGACCGTGTTCACTCACTCAGCACAACCAATCATTGATTTTGTCCTCTGTTGAGACCCTTTGGGAACGAGGCAACTGCATTCAAGGTGACCTTTTCAATAAAGCCATAATGAAAATACAATTGAGATAATTGTGGCTGAGATGCACACAGGGGGCTCTTGGACTTGGCTTTGCAGCATGCGCAGTGCACACTGGTCTCTGGTAAGATTTAGTAATCTGGACGTGGGTAGTGCAAAAACAATGTCATGCATGGTTTCCTTGTTACATTAAGAAACCTAAGATTGCACAATCAGTTCAAGAAATTCTTGCCTAAACCTCTATTGCCAAAGCAGGCTTTTGACAAGACTGTCTGGTTGGACTGACAACCGGGATAAGGTCAATGATTTATGGATTGTTATTAAATCATGCATTTGCACTGATTTGTAGAGATTGCAAATCACACTGAGGTCATAAATGCCCTTAAGAAACTAAAGCACTGATCATGTGCACAGAAGAGAGTTGAGAGGATGCCTATATATCAACTCCAGTATAAGAAAAACCCATGTTATAGTATATTAAAAAGCTTGAATACATCTTGACAGCTTGAAACACATATGTATACATTCTGCTTTGCATCAAACCGGTTGTTGATCATGATGTTGCACTTGAAGAATTGCCTACCGAGTCTTTGCGATGACATTCCCTCCTCCTCCTCCTCCTCCTCCTCCTCCTCTGCTGCTCAACTTCGGCTCTTTGCGGATTAGTTTCGGTGGCTTTTGAGGCTCTTCGTTGGTTTGTTTCGCTTCATTCGCCGGTGCTATATCCTCGATGTGACTGAAGGATTGCAAATGTTTTGCTTTCGCAACTTCCTTCAGCGGCGGCTCGTCCGCAGCGTTCCCCCCGAAAAAGTACAAAAGTAGAAAAACTCCGAAACATACCGCGATCGCCACAACCTTGCAGCGGATCCTCATGGTGAAAAAGTGCTCTGTCCGCTTGGAAATGTTTTAACCATGGCTCTGGTTAAAACACGGGGACATATTTGTAGTGTGCAGCCATACTTCTTCATGTGTACAGTGATGATGAAGACGATGCTGCTCAGCTTAGCGCCGATATCAGACACGTAAATGAATCTCTGAAGGCGGAACCTTACACTCCTTACCGTAATACTTGTAATACTTCTGACATAAAACCGTAATACCTTATGTAAAAAAAGAAATAATAATAATAATACTTTTCCGGTGTTTATTTTTTTTGTACATAATTATTATGTTTGTCCATATTATATGAAACATATTTGTTCATATTGATCGTATTACATTATTATATTTTATATATAGCCATGTCTAGCTAGTTGCCAGGAGGATATTAACAGTGTCTGACATAATAATGTTATTTTTATATATTGCAGCATTGTATGTTCAAATGTAGCTATTGGTTCACACACACTTCTGATCAGTTTCTCGATTAAGAAATAATCTGCTGAAGGGACTGTTCAAATCAGAAAACAATTTTTTTGTTTTGCATTTTTATATTTATTTATTATATACTTGTTTATTTTTTTAATTCATATTATATTCATTTTTCTTCTTTATTAACTTGTAGAAATCCGTTCTGACTGCAGTTTCCATGTGTACACAATACTGATTCATTGATAAGTATGTTCAATTACAGTTATGTTTGTCCATATTATATGAAACATATTTGTTCATATTGATCGTATTACATTATTATATTTTATATATAGCCATGTCTAGCTAGTTGCCAGGAGGATATTAACAGTGTCTGACATAATAATGTTATTTTTATATATTGCAGCATTGTATGTTCAAATGTAGCTATTGGTTCACACACACTTCTGATCAGTTTCTCGATTAAGAAATAATCTGCTGAAGGGACTGTTCAAATCAGAAAACAATTTTTTTGTTTTGCATTTTTATATTTATTTATTATATACTATTATTTATATACTATACGTTCTGACTGCAGTTTCCATGTGTACACAATACTGATTCATTGATAAGTATGTTCAATTACATTCATGTATTTAATCATTCATCTTTACCATGTAGTATTCCAGTGAATATATTTTGTAGTCCTCCTTATATGTGGCATTACGGTAAAACATGGCCAGTCCAGAGAGCAGGAAGCAGTCCATGTGCTGCATTTGTGCTACTGATGTTGTTTAGACTAGAGCATATGAGTCTTTACAGAAGACATGTGAAGGTATCAGTTTTGTTTTATAATGTTTATATATTTTTTTGCAGTCGCCTTATTTAAATCGTACTATACCATTTGAAAACGTAAAAGTCTTAAATAGTGCACGGCCTTGTCTGTTTTATGTTGGCATTAACATTGCGTGTACAAACAACATCGGCAGATTTTTGACAGCTTCTAATCTGCGTTGGGTTTTAGCTATCATTTATTATTTTGGGTTTGGTTTTATCCTGTGTCCACGTATCATATTAGCATAGCGACATTGGATACTTGGATGACATTTAGCAAGGGGTTCTTTTATTTGAGTCCTTGATACTTTCAGTATTAAATGGGTTGTTTATGTCTCGTTGGGTTCAAATTGAGTAACCACAAGGTGGTGTTGTAAGCTGCTCTATTCTTTCTACTTCTCAAATATCTATTTGAGTACGGACTAGTTAGACTTTATAAAGTCTTCACGTCTTATTACAGTGCCAAGTAGTAACTTTTAGAGATTTGTGCACAGTCCAAGTAAGTTAATGGGAATCTATGTTAACTGTAATCTGTGATGATTGTGCTCAGTTATTTTTTTTGATCAGTGAAACCTTCCAAAATAACATGATTGATAAAGTAACATGATGTAACAAAATAATATTTTCACCTTTTTTTTCTCACAAATCTTGTTTAGTAACATTAGGACTGGTTTCAGATTATAATAACACTGTATTAGCATTCCTTTAGCCTTGTTTACCCCATCTGACCAGTTCGAGATGTCTGAGTAACTGTTTGTGTTTTTCTGTCTTTTGCTGCAGTACTTCACCATATGTAATCATGATAACACCGGCGTTTGAACTGAGTCAAGATGCTGATTTCCTTACTGTGGTTATTCGTGTACCCTACACCAGAACATCTGAGTTTGACATCTACATCCAGGGGGAAGATTTTAAGTTCTATGCCAAGCCCTACTTTCTCAGGTGACTTGGATGCAAACGCCATGATTGACATTCTGTTAAACCACGGGAAAGTACTTGTAGGTCCTAATATAAGATGTTTACAACACTTTTTATCTACAAATACTAGGGATGCACGATATATCGGCCACCATATCGGTATCGGCCCATATCGGCTCATTTTTTCTGTTATCGGTATCGGCCAAAATTTTCATATCGGTGCATCCCTAACAAATACTAAGACGGAGACCCCAAAAAGCATTAGGACAGCTCATCCACACTTAAATACATTACATTATAAGCAGAGGCAGACAGTAACTAAGTACATTTACTTGAGTATTGTACTTGAGTACACTTTTTGAGTATCTGTACTTTACTTGAGTATTAATTTTTCTGGAAACTTATGACTTTAACTTCACTGCATTTGAAAGACAAATATTGTACTTTTCACTCCACTACATTTCTGTCAAGGTCCTCGAAGTAGAAAGTCGTTACTATGTAGCAGCTTTGAAAGTCAGTGGGTGACTTTTTTTCAGACGGTTTATTAGTAATCACTCTTGTAGGGCTACATGATGTGATTTCCCAGCATTTTTTGAGCACTGACCAGTTCCAAATGTGATATTTATTTACAACAATTCAATAATAAGAAGTTAATATTGTGGTTTATATTAGACACCATATTGTCTGATTTTGCTAAATTGTGTAAGTGAAAATATTACCTGTAAAGCCACAGAAGAACTGTTGTAGCAGCACTGCACAGACCATTCTGTGTATGACATCAAAGTACAGCGAGAGCGATTAGACAGCATTTTTTTAAATTTTTGTTTTGATTTCAAATAAGTCTTGCTGTTTTGCATTTTGTTAAAGCAGTGTTGCTGTTGTAAAGTTGTACAGCTACAGTTGTGTTGCTGGGTTTTAAAGCAGGTTTGATTTTTGATTTTCTTCCTTATCACTCCAATTTCACTGTCCACTCTGTTCAAATGTGGATGAATGGCTGGTGGATGAATGTGGATGAATACATAGATGTGTCCAGAGCTGTGTGAGATCACTACCATCCTGCTTTTGTTGGGGTGGGTAGGGGTGTTAAATAATAATTATTTTTGTTTGTTTTGTTGTTCTACCATAGGTTTTTAACATTCTAAAAGCTCTTTATTCCAAAGATACTACAAGCGAGTCAGTGTATTCAGTAGATGTATTGTATTGTAAGTTGCTTCAGAGGTATTGCAAGTATTACATACAGCAATAATAAAACAGTGCATTGACATAAAAAAGGAAATTTACTTTTGGTACTTAAGTACTTTTAAAAGCAAGTACTTCTGTACTTTTACTTAAGTAAAAATCTGTCTTTACAACTTTTACTTGTAATGGAGTGATATTTGACTGTACTTTCACTCAAGTAATGGAGTTGTGTACTTTGTCTGCCTCTGATTGTAAGTTATCAGACACTCAGACAAGTTCTGAGAAAAGGTCTGGAATAATTTGTTTGTAGATGTCATTTAGTTTTATGTTGGGTTATCTAAAGCAGTGAAATTTATGTATGTGCTTTTTGGTGGCAAATGCATATTGCATAATAATATACACTTACATATGGATATATATATATATATATATGTGTGTGTTTTTATTTGTACCATTATTATTGAATCTATGTAATCATTAACCTTGCAGATTGACTCTTCCTGGGAGAATAGTAGAAGATGGCTGGGAAAAAGCTTCATTCGATATCGATAAAGGTAACAATCAGTCTGTTACCTTCTCTAGTTTCTTCCGCAGCTGTCTCTGAAAACCTGTGCCACCTTTTTTAACCACTCGGTACCTCAGACATGGGCATTTCTTAAGACAAGACACGAACAAGCTTCAGCAGAAGCAGCGAAATTGCCCTAATCTTTTTCAAATCAATTTCTTCAAAGGTTCCCCTCTATTTGTACCAACTAGCTTCTACTTAAGATCTAAGGCAAGCATAACATAGTGATTAAAGACTAGTAGATGTGGTTAGTTGTATTGCCAGAGTGAAATTGTCAGTATTTTATAACAATCCTGTGTTACAATGAACTGCAGTTTTAAAGCAGTTATAATGGGCATAATTATATCTAAAAGAAAAGCATAGTGTGGGACTGAACAATATTTTTGTTTTGTTTTCCATATTTTTACATTTTACCTTATTTGTATATTTGTATAGTTGTATTTTGTATTTAATCTGTATTTATGTTATCTGTATGCACCCAAGGGTCTGAGAGTAACGCAATTTCAATTCTCTGTGTGTATGTACTGTACATGTGGAAGAATTGACAATAAAGCAGACTTGACTTGACTTGAACAAGATAAAGGATGCTCTTAAGCAATTATGCTTTAAATAACAAGGTTTAAACTTGTACAGGGCAACATACATTCATTTGTTTTTGACTAACATTATATAAAGGGCAAAAGAACAATAATAGTTGGAAACAGCTGGCAACGGGGTTTGCGTTTTACTTGTTTGGGAGAAAATCACACAGAGGATACAACATAACCTCACAGGACATATATAAGATCGAAAATATGTTGGAGCTAATATCCTTGTAGGCAGCATTCTGACATACAGCGCAGTGGCGACTTCTGGCTTTTGGTTACCGAAGTGCTCTCTGTATTATTCCTGTGGAAATAAATCCAAAAACATAAAAAGTACATATTTACCAAAAATAAAATAATAAATACAAGATGAAATTAAGGAATTTAAGGCAACACAATGCTACTTGACTGCCAAGGATTTGCTTTTTCTTAAAGTTCCCATGGAACTCCTCCAAATAGCATGAAGATTTCCAGTTGCTTAGTAATTGCCACATGATCCTGTTCCTGACGTCTCATTGGCCTCGTTTCTGCATGTCCTCTTTGATCGACAGCCAGTGAATAATTTAGCAGTAGTCTTTCATAAAGAACATCTAATTGCTTTCTGTGTTTATGGAGAGTAACAAGTAATTATAAATCATTCACAGATCTGACTACAGTCAAAGCAATTATTGTCATTTTAACATAACACCATTTTAATATTTAATGTTCCAGCAGGGTCTAAAATTATAGGTTTGTTTAATGCAAGGTTGTCTCAAGCACAGACTTTGAGATTGTAACCGTTCAGCATGTAATGTGTGGGATATAGTCCCTCTGCTTTTTTACCATCACAATTTTGCTATTTCCACAAATTCCCGTTTGCATAAGAAAACATAAAGTCAGAGATAAAAAACCACTATGATGGTTTAGTGATTAGCACACTGATGCAATCCAGATATTGTGCACATGTGGGAGAAGTGGGTTTGGAGTTGTTACATTGCTTCTCATAATTGCCCATCCTCATTTAAAAAGCCAGAGTTAAATGAACAGATCACCAAAAAGTGAAAATTCTCACCTTCATGTTTTTCCAAACCTGTATGAATTTCTTTCTTCTGCGAAACACAAAAGAAGATATTTTGAAGAATGTTAATAACTACCAAAAAGTTTTGGTGACCATTAACTTACATTATATGGGGGAGAAAAAAAAACTCTGAGCCATTTCTCAAATTATCTTCTTTCATGTTCCCCAGAATAACAGAAGTTCATATATAGGTTTGGAACGACATGAGTAAATGACAACAGAATTGTAGTTTTGGGGTGAACTATGCCTTTAAACAATAAGAAATGCCTGCTAAAAATGCTTTAAGCCTAAGTTGGTTTTAACTTGTTTAAGCTTGTCTTAAGCCCTATTCGCACAGGATTAGTATTACCTGGTGACCTCCAGTCATTTGTAATAATTGTGGAGGTTGTCTGTGATCTTAATCCCGTGCGAATCGGCCATGTCTGTAATTTGTAAAGTAAAAATTCCCCCGCAAATGACCTACCATATTTCGCCGAACACGAGGTCCTGTGATAATATTAGTCCCGTGCGAATCGGCATCTCTGTGATTCGGCCAGCATTTGGCGGGTCGCATATCATTTTTCGAGGTTTTTGTTTGCTGTGCGCCTTTTTATCCATCTTTCGCGAAGAATGGAGCTGCGTTGGGAGTGTTTGATAGTATTTGGGTGCTGTCATCATATCGCTACACCATACAATTTGCAGAAAGAGAAAGCTGAAAAGGTTTTGAGGTTAATGTGTTACAAATAAATCAAGCATAAAGCTTGAGATATTATTTTAACCTGGTGAAATGTAAATGACACAGCGCACGAAACTATATTAGTTTCTTTTTTTTTTTAAATCCATCTGGACCATAGAACGGGACTCTCGAAGCCTTGACATACGGGTATCTGGGAGACAAGTCAGTAAATTCGAGTAAAATCACAGGCTTCGCTTATCCCGTGCGAATGCACCACACGAAATTCAGATGTGGGGGGGTAATTTCAAAATCACACAAGGTCCCCAGATAATACTAATCCCGTGCGAATAGGGCTTTAGATGGTCTTTCAACCTGGCCCAGCTGTTTTTTTTGTCTGGTTTAGGCAGCCAGCTGTTCTAGCTGCAAACAGCCTGAGTTGGCCCAACTAAGACCAGCAAACCAACTTAGCCTAGTTTAAAATGTTTTTTTTTTTCTCAGTAATGGGAATAATGAAATGGAGAAACTCTCTTTCTTAGTCTCATTTGCTGTCTTTCTTTCTGCACAGCAGACTTCATTATACCACAGAACTCTCACATTTCATGAGTCGGTCGAGCTGTCAGCATCATAACGATCCATCTCACCGATTCCATCACTCTCTTCTTTCTTTATTGTGATACACCTTCACTTTGATCATACTCACTCATGTTCTCTCTCTCTCTTTCGTGCAGTGCTTATCAATCTTTCATTCAGGAAGAAACAGCAGAAGCAGCGGTGTGATTGTGTCTGACCGATCTGCCGTAGTCCCGACATGTCTTTTAATGAGCTGCTGTTTAGCGCTTTTAATTATACCTAATTGCCATGGGATCTTCTGCTTGACATCTCATTGGCCTCATTTCAGCTCGTCATCTTTGATCGACAACCAGTGAATAATTTAGAAGTCGTCTATCTTAAAGTACCTCTAATTGCTTTCTGTGTTTACATAAGAAATTATAAAACATTCTTAAATCTGTAAAGACTCAAATCAAGGCAATTATTGTAATTTTAAGGGTGATGTGTTTCTTTTTTGCGATTTAAAAAAAAAATTCCTGTCCCAGCTTAATAAGTAGAGACAACTATAAGTATGCAACATGTAAGCTGATTTCCCAGAAAAGAGTAAATATTGTGGCTACTTTCAAAACATTGCTCTGTTTGTCTAAGATTCCCAACCAGACCTAAACAGCAACAGTGGCTTAACCAATGGCATGAGTTTGGGGTGGGACTATCTGTTTGGTTGACCAATGGCAGCTGGGGACAGTGTTGTTTTGAAGAATGTTGTTTTTGACCCCACTGACTTTTATTGTATGGACAAAACGAAAAAGAAAAAAAGATATTTTGCATTCCACAGAAAAAAGAACTGAATTTTTATTTTTGGGTGAACTGTTTCTTTAAAGTTCTGATCTAACTGAAATATTGTTTTCTTCCATATTGTGACATACATCTGAGTGAAACTAATTATTGAAAGAAAAAAAAAAAGGGTGTCGGGGACTTGATTCTATCCACTGGTGGTTGATTGGATGGAGAGATTTAGATGTGAACTTGCAGTCGGTTATATGAAAGTGGTAGGGTTCATGAGGATGCTCATGACATTTTGATTTAAAAACTGCAACGTCAAAAAGTTGTAAAAATGAAATGTGCATGGAAGAATCCACAATGCAATATATACCATACATGTAGAAATAGAGTGAAATTCGATTTCATGCTGACTTTAATGAGTTCATTTTGTTGGGTCCTACTGTTTTTGTTTCAGTGCCATTGCAATATGTAAGTTGCTAAGTTGCTTAATGAGCTGTTTAGCGATTTAAAGGCGAAGTGGATCATTTCTGCACCATTAGCCTTGGAACCAAAAAGAATCGCAGAAAGAATGAGTTTTCAAACAGGTCTATCAAACTCCCTTTCTGGAGTGCACATACAGACCAAAGACAAGCAAAGAATAGAGACTTTTAGCCCCACCTCAAAACTAAAAAGAACACCCTAGTAACCCATTTAACAATACATTAACAATAATTCAGAACAACTTAGAAACTGAATTGCAGCATCTTAGTATTATGGCATTCTCCTCAAAAAAAATGTTTAGTTGGGTAAGCTAACATTCATTATTAAAAAAAAAAACTACTGAATTAATTATTAGTTTGAATATCTTCAATATCTATATAACTTGTCACCTTATAGTTAGCATGAAATGAAAATTCTCCCTATTTTCTAAATGCATGTATTGATCTTATTGTGAACAATTTGTCCATAAATATATTTCAATCTAGTAAACTATTTTTGACCTTGTAATTTTTTATTAAAATATCATAACATTCCAGTGCAACAACAGACTTCTCTCTGGTGACGGAAGTCTCCAATCATTTAGTCCTCTTGAACATTTTCTTACAATCAACTGCAAACTCTCTTTCAGATCAGCTTCCATCCAATCAACAACCGATTGTTTGGTTGCATTTTTTACTTATAAAAAAATTATCAGTTTCACTCAAATGTACAACACAAAACAGAATATGTGATGTTACGCCACTTTAAGAATGTGTGTATTTATCAGGCCTCTTCATGCTGCATGTCCCTAAAGAGACGGCCGGAGAACACTTTGAGGGTTTGGAGATGCTCACCAGTCTCTTGGCTCCTAAGGGATCAAGGTCAGCCAAACAACTGGTAGAGGACACAGGTAAGGTTGAATTATTCCTTGGGTATGAAAAGCAGATCATCTTCCATCACGTTCTTCTGGTGTTTATTTTAATTTCAAGTTCCACTCATTCTGTATTCACTGAACGCCCTCTATTGGCATTCTCACAGAGGCCTGTGGTGGAGGATGTGAGGAGGAAGATGAAGAGGAGGAGTTTGATTGGCAGATAGAACAGGAGGTTTACACTGAAACCCCAGCAGAGACGCTGAAAGAATACCACAAGTATGGCTTTGGAAACCTTAGGTCTGGAGTCTTCGCCAGACTGCAAGTAAGAATGATAAAGAGGATACCACGGGACATTTTGAAAAATAAATGACCTGGAGTTATTGTTGACAACCTGTTGTTTTGCTTTGCACCAATCAGGAGGAACTGAATGAGGTGATTGACTTGAAGGATCCTGACAATACTGCTCCTGAGCTCAGGAGACACAATCGACTAGAAGCAGAGACCACAATATTCTGTGCCGACCATTACATGTAAGTCCACTATTTTTGTTCATGTACTGATGTTCATCAAATTTGCCAAAACTACAATCACAAAGAATATTTAAAACAATATTTAATTTCACATCTCGCACATAACGGAACATCCACACATTCAGATTGATTTATTGTTTTGACTCTGTTTTGGGAGTCATTCATTCATTGTGTCGAGTATGTTTGACGCAGGGTGAACTTGTATGAGGACAAGGAGGAGATCAGAAACCTGCTGAAGTTTAAACCGAGGTGGAGAGAACTGAGCCCGGACCCTTCAGTGCACTCCGACACCTGTGAGACCTTTACCTCCTCAGATTCAATATATCGCTTTGTTCTGTCTTTAGCGAATAAAGTTAATCTCTCTAAATGTATTTAAACATTCAGTGCACAATTACCGCTTTGTCTTGTGTCTCTCACTCTGTGGGTCTGGATGGAGAATTAGGTCGGGTTTAGTTGACATCGCCAATATTTCAATGTAACCTGGAATATTTCCAGAACTGTTGTTCCTATTGTCTGCAGGCAGGTGGCGCGCCTTTGCTGGGAACTGATCATCTTGGGACCCTAATCTTAGACTAGCAACAGCGTCGTGTTCACACGTTGCACATAGGAGATTTGAAGCTATTTGTAGCCTTGCACTGTTTTAACACTCATACTTTTACTCTTTTTGTCATTGTTTTATAACTGCTGAGTCATTTTGATGAGGCTGTGTGTGAGTCACAGAGTTAGGTTAGTCAGCAAGGTACAAACCACCTCTCTCTTCTTACATCTTGTTATTGTCTATCATTAATCTCTAACTTTATATGTATCTGTCATTCTACCTATCTATCTATCCATCTATCTATCTATTGCTTTGTCTATCTTTCATTCTGTCCATTGTTTTATCTACCTTTCTGTCTACCTATCATTCTTTCTGTCTGATAGATCATTCTGGTTTTGTCTGGTCCATCGTTCTGTGATGTTGTTATGTTGTTCTATCTGTCGTTCTGTCTATGTTTCTTTATATCTGTCATTCTGTCTGTCTTTTCTTTTCTTATTTCTTCATCTTTTCTTCAATCCATCTGTGTTTCTCTTTCCATCTATCTTAACTCTATTTTTTTCATCTAGCTATATAGCTATGCATCTATTGTCTTGTCTGTCAGTCTTTCTTGGTACATTTGTTGTAATAGTAGAAACATATCCGTTTAAAATTGCGTGGAATATTGACGTGTTGTGAGACGTGTGTGATAAAGCGGCACAGACATTGAGAGACGAGAAGCAATTGTGTCCCACACCAGCATGTTCATTATCACTAGAGTAGTGTGCTAATTCCTCAGTGCCCGATTACAGAATGAGGAAATTAGTCTGAGCTGCAAGCATATGTTGGTACGGGGGGGTCCTATCACAGAAGAGAAGGATTAAACAGATGGAGATATTTCAAGATATGCATTCCAAACTGTCTGTTTCTGCTGTCAATCAGTCAAATAACTTTGTACAGCCACTTAGCACACAGACACTTCTGTACAACTATATTTTTAGTGTTCTCATCAGTATGCTGGATGCTTGGAGCAGATTAATTGCTACTAATTGCTTGGACAGACTGTCCTGAACATCCTGAGTGAAGTGCACGCAAATCAGTGCCAATGATATATCTCCTCCTCACTGTTTTCTAAGTTTTTCCTGACTGGATATGGCTCATTAAGCCATTAAAGTTAATTAGGCCCTTTGCTCTTTGGGTATTAGGATGAGCTTGTTCGTTTTTCATTATCGTTTAGCTATCATTAGATATGAGAAACCATGTAGGCTTTATTTCTTTGTAATGATTTGAGATTAATGGTTGAATTTCCGCAACCTACTCTCACTGTTGAAATGACGTGATCCATGTCTAGTCGACAAAGAAGCATCTTATACATTGCACCAGACAGTAGCGGCAAGGGAATTTTAAGTGCAATTTTCAAATGAATTATTGAATCATTATCTTTGACAATTATATGGGAAAACAAGATTTAATACGCTTTAGTGGAAATCACACAGCCACATGCCTACATTTTTATTTCCCTCTGGTTATGTTTTATCGCCCCCAAGACACCCAAGTTAGCCATGCTTCCCACTGTGCCCCTCAAAATAAAAGATGCACATAAAAATAAACTCTCACACAGACGTTTTCTTTACAAACTTGTAGGTACATTCTTAGTGCAATTCACAGATTTGTGGAATAGGTGTACCAAAGGCTTTACTTGTTCTCTCTGTCTTCATGATGAGGAACTTTCTTGCACGACAGAGATCACACACATGAGAATTGTTGTGTTTACTTCCTAAGATTCTGATTCAAGATTTCTGCTGCTTCCTTGTCTGTCATCTCCCTTTATTTTGTGTGTATGTTTATACCTGTGGTAGTGTCCTTGCTTTCCTATGTGTATCGGGTATCTTCACACTCAAGGTCCCAACGGAGATGACAGCCTCACCGTATGCGTTTATGATTTGTATGCACTTCATTATTCCACTCCCCCATCTCATTCAATTTGCTGTTCCTTGTTCTCTCTGTCTTCATGATGAGGAACTTTCTTGCACGACAGAGATCACACACATGAGAATTGTTGTGTTTACTTCCTAAGATTCTGATTCAAGATTTCTGCTGCTTCCTTGTCTGTCATCTCCCTTTATTTTGTGTGTATGTTTATACCTGTGGTAGTGTCCTTGCTTTCTTATGTGTATCGGGTATCTTCACACTCAAGGTCCCAACGGAGATGACAGCCTCACCGTATGTGTTTATGAATGTATGCACTTCATTATTCCACTCCCCCATCTCATTCCATTTGCTGTTCGTGTTAGTGGTCTGGGCACCTGTGTTGTGTCAGATGTTGTTTTTGCAGATTTTGCCATTGAATGAATGACAAATTATAAAGCATTCCATAAAAGTAGGCTGTTATAGCCCCAATGAGGCATGGCCAGTAGCTCAAGAGTTATCTAGCAGAATGTCCAGGCTGCTCTTTTTGATAAAGCAATAGTGGATGGTGACCAACATTAGTGCTGTTTTCTTTTGTATTATGCTGCATATTCCTTCAGAATAGCTTTGTGTGAGGAACAAGTTAATATTTAAGTCCTTAATACAACGTTGTACAGCATACAGCCAGAAATGTAATTCACTCAACAGGAGGAGGTGAAGAAACTTAAGTGGTTCGTTTGTGTGTTGTCTGTAGAGCAACTTTGAAACAAGTTTTCACTTTCATGCTTACTACCGTTCAGCTACTGTTAGAGTAATTTCTGAAGGATCATGTGAGACTGGATTCATGGCTGCTAAAAGTTCAGCTTTGCCATCACATGAATGAATTTTAAAATAACATTTTAAAATATGTAAAATAGAATTATTCACAATATTATTGTATTTCTTGTTTTCAACTGTGCATATTCATAAATGGCATGTAAAGATGCCACATAAGGTTTTTCTTTAATGCCAACCTTCCTTGGTTTTCATTTGTGTTGTGACCGAATCTCAATTCATGTCACAACTGAGATTTGAATTGGTAAATAATGAATTCCGTTTTAGTCTTTTCCGCACACAAATCTATCGTATGGCTTCAGAAGACTTGGAAATAATGCAGATTTGCTTATATTTACTTCTTACTACTTTGTTACTTTTTTTTTTTTTTTCACGAGCCAGGACTCGAACTCGGGACTCCTGAAGCGCAACAGCTCTATATGTTGGCACACTGCCCACGAGGCAATTGGCGAAGACAGAAGGAATAGTTTTGAAGTTGTTATCCTACCATATAAAAGTACCACAACTGCTAAGAGTTTCTTTATAATCAAGAAAGAAAGAAATCTGTCAATGAGTAATTGGTGATGGTAACCGTTTAATATAAAGAGAAGGCAAGAGCTGGGGTGGAGCTGAACTCCCTCCTCAGCTCCTGGCTTTGGTCTCACCTCCTCTTCAGTGTTTCCTGCCAGGTGGAGGCAGCTGTGTTAGAGGGTATATCAGGTAGAGAGGGAGAGAAAATGGGGGAGCTGTTCAGTCGTCATGTCGCTGGAATCCAGCAGCTCCCAACAGAGCCAGAACTCGACCTCTGCCAGCTCTAGCTTTAAGTGTGTGTGTATATGGACATGTAAGCAAGCACATGAGGGGCTCTATCAGGGGCAGCACTGCAGCCAAGATGGGGATCACTTTCAGCTGCTACTAAAGTGCTGACTTGCCCATTTTCTCTCTCTCTCTCTCTCTCTCTCTCTCTCTCTCTCTCCCTCTCTCTCTCGCTGCCCTGCCTTCGACTCCTTCCTCCCTGATGCAGTATCAAGTCAGTTTAGGGCATCAATCAAGCTCTGTAACTTTGCTCTTCCCGTGTGGTAACTTTACTATGCTTCAAAAGCCTTGTCTCCGACTTTGATTTAAAAATAATTGCAGCAAACATGCTTTTGTTTCTTAAAGCTCTCAGCAGAGCAGAAACATCCATCATTCCCTGCTGGAGCCCTGCGTTTAAACTTGTTTTTCGGGGAGAATTTGTCAGAGATTGACTTTGACTGTACCTCCCTGAAATAACTTGATAAACAACACTGAATGCCTCTCTTTCTCTCTCTGTACTTCCAGCAATAACTTTCACAGAAGAAGAAAAAGAGCAGATGAGGAAATTCACAAACCGTTCGTACTTGCTGGATAAGAAAGCACGCTTCCACATCTGGCTCGGTTTGGTGGACATCATTCTCGCGTATGTCTATGATGTGCGCACTACAGAAGGAGAGCACAATGTAAGTGTACGCTTGATTGCCACAGACATCTCTCTGCTATTAAGTGGGTTTGGCGTGCGAGTCGTGGCATTTTCACGTGCAGCAAAGCTCCAGGAAGTTGATCAATCTTTTTGGAGACCAATGCACATGGTAGTAATTGTAAAAATAAGTTTGAAAAATATGAAAATCATGGGGATGTTTTAAAACAGGGCTTCTGAAGTTGAAGTAATAGAATGTTGCAATGGCTTCAGTTGGGAAGAGCTCTGTTGGATTGACTCCAAAGCTTTCAATATATGTTAAATGTATAGTCAAATTCTGGGCTTTGATTCAATCTTAATAGCTAGAGAACATATCAAACCTTCTTGAAACATTCTCGTCTAAAGTGATACATTTAGCATTGGAGCTGTGGCTTGGTGGTTAGCGCTTATGCTCACTGAGCCATGGTGCTCATGTGAGTGACGCGAGTTTGAATCCAGAAACAATTCCCCTTTTCATAATCATTTCTTGTTCTTTCACTCCTGTTGACTTTGAAAAGTGACAAAATAGGGATGCACAATATTATTACTTAAGTTACTTATCGGTATCTGCCAAAAACATAATATTGTGCATCCCTATTTATCATAAGTTCAAAAATATATTCATGTTATGGCAGATAATGGATAAATGGCTGATATTAACATCCTGTAATAACTTGTGTACAGTACACTACTGTTTAAAGGTTTGGTGTTGGTAAGATTTTTTTTTTAAATGCTTTTGAAAGTAATTTATTACTGTGATGCAAAGCTGAATTTTCAGCAGCCATTACTTCAGTTTTCAGTGTTAAATAATCCTTCAGAAATCATTCTTATATGCTGATTTGATGCTCAAGAAACATTTATTATTATTATCAATGTAAACAGTTGTGCTGCTTAATATTTTTGTGGGAAAACTGGGTACTTTTATTCAGCATTGTTTGATAAATAGAAAGTGGATATTACAAACTAAAATAATCTGTAATATTGATAACCAATGCACTATTGATACATTATGTATCCAAAGGCAACATGGTGTGAAATAAAATTCAAAAAATAATTTTGTTTAGTGTATAGGATCAATGATTACAATATTAACTGATGTTGTGATTTGCAGGTAGAGTCAGCCTGGACCATCAGGAAGCTCAGCGGTACTCTCAGCTGGCTGGAGGTATGTGGTACATTTAGCAGCGTATCAAAACATGACATGGCCTTGAATGTGCAAACAAATGAATGAATGAGCGAGTGATTTTAACTTACTGCGACTTTTTTCGCATGAGTTGTTTTACAAATCCGATCTTCAGGACTGACTGTCTTCACTGCTGTTCCTCATGTAATTAAATCTGATCTGTTTGTTTAAACAGTGTAGTCAATATCTGGTATATCTGCTTCAGTTGCTATAGTAATGATGTAAGCATCTCACAATACCCAAGAGACTTTTTCATGCTACAAGTGAAGAGTAGCTGTCAGTGTGGAAAGAAAGGTCGAAAAATTTAGAAATTTTCCCTCTGCTCCTGTCCATCATGCTGAACTCAAGGCATATGAGAAAACATTTTTACACATATACAGATTTTACACATGCATAGAGATATTGCTGACTTGCACATTCGTTCATGATTCTCTACATAGTGAATGTCACAGTTTGCCATGTCAGTGTTGTTAAAAAACAATGTTTGGTAATTTAAATAAAGCTAAAATAAAATAAAGCATATACATTAGATGGGAAACCTAAAGTTGAAGTACTAAATTTACTAAAACAAACGGAAAAAAAAAAAACTAAAGATAAATATAAAAAATGACAAAAGCACATAAACTTACTAAAATAAAAAGGAAACCTGAAAATATTAAAATAAAATAATTCAAAATATTCATAAATTATATAAAAATTCATATAATATAAATAATACTACAATAACACTGGTTTGTTATGTAAGGAACAAGAAAGGGAGTGTTTTCAAATGCAGCTCCAAAAAGTATTGTAGACTTAATGACGTTACTTGTGCTTAACATCCCAAATTCTGCTGCCTGCCTGAACAAAGCCTACAATAAAGGGTTTGGAGTGTTCTGGCCAAATTACATAAGTGATTTGTCTTCCTCTGATGGAATCTCGCTTTTGAAGCCACTGCTGCTTTTTAAGTGGGAGAACTTGCACAATTGGTGGCTGACTAAATACTTTTTTTCCCCACTGTACATGCAGATTAGTAGATTACACCACTGTCCGTCTGAAAGCTGAGCAACTTTAAAGTTATTCTATTCTTAACATTTGTCCTAACCAGATGCAACACAACAAGCTTCCAACACCAATTAATTTGTCTAAATATGAACATGCTGTACAACTTAACAAAAAACAACCAATCACAAGACATATGATGTGTTATATACAGCTAGGTGGAGTTTTACTGATATGAACAAACATATCTTGTAAATCAGGTCATATCTTGTAAATCAGGTCACAAGATACCGCCCAGAATGTCACCTTAACCAGTCACAATATAAAAAAAAATTGATCCTGTAACACGTTTTCATGAATGATCATTGTCTCTCCTGAGTTCTCGATTGCTCCTGTTTATCAGTAGTTTTCATAAACTTGCATGTGTGGATAGTGAAATGTAGCAGACAGGCATTTACATTTCATCATCAGCATAATGCATCCTGTGCCGAAGTTGACGCCAAAGCGAGAGACAAATTCAACCTTAAAGTGCTTGCGTCTGGTTTGAGTGAGAGCTCCCAACTTGGTGTGTGTGTGTGTACGTGTATCCTGACTCCTGGGGCGGCAGCAGTCCCTAATCCCCCACATTTCCACTGTGAGTGTGACAATGAGGACGAGTAACCCGACACCTCTCCCAGCTCAGAGCACTGAGAGCCAGCACTCCACTGCAATACTGATAATGGAAGGGTAGTAATGACGTCCTCCAACTGCCTGCTCTCTCTCTCACACACACACAGCACAAACTCTCTGCTCCCTCATTGTTTCATTCACTGTTTCCTTTTTAGTGCTTGCAAAGCAGCGCTACATTGCTATTCCTCAAATACTGATGTTAGGAGTTTTTTCCTTACCTTTGACCCTAAGTATTAAACATCTGCAATTAATTCAGCCTGAACGGCTTAAAGAACAGATTTGTAGATCATTTTAGCGTTACGTGTTATTAGTTTATGGTTTATGAAATTATGTGAAGGCTTTGTGTGTATATATATATATATATATATATATAGACCACTAGTATATAATATAAATATATATTAGACCACTAGAAAATATTTTTTCTTGTTGAAAGCAGAAGAGTTGCTCAGCTCAATTCAATTTAATTTGATCAATAGTTAAAGCTGCAGTCTGTAACTTTTTTTGGTTAAAAAGGATCCAAAATCAATATTTGAGGAAGTACATAACCAGCCAGTGTTCAAAACTATCGCCTTACTTTAGCCCGATTCACAAAGGTTATCTTATAATAATGTTTTCTACGTTTGAGTGGTACGGGTAGGTTTTCGCGGGAAAGGATTATGTGTTTATGAAACACGTGTGTTATAAATGTGCTTCTGATTACAGATAGCCTGGGATTACAAAGATTTGTATTTTAAAGAAAACCAGTTCGAAGGGAGCATAATTTGCTTTTTGGGTTAAAATAATTTCTTAATATGAAATTCAAAGAGTATGACAATTAGATTAGACTGTGCAGAAATTGAAATCTACACGCTAATACACACTATACTCATAGTCCCCAATGATGATGCTGTTAACATGAATCATTTGAGAATAAAGTATAACAATAATAATAATTTAAACGATTTGATGTGATATGAGCTAACCGAACTTTAGATTTAATCACCATTGGTAGCGAGATTTATGGTAATGTTTTTTTCCCTCAGTTGGTCAGAACAAACATGGCAGATTTGTTACTTACTTGTTCAGATGGCAATATACCGTGAAAATTCTTATTTGGGTCATATTCCAAGACATAGGCTAAAATCCGTGATTGCGAAGTACAGTAAATATCCACACCGGTGCAGTGAATGACAGTGACTGACTGCCACACATATTCTTCAGAACATTAGATTAATCCGCGCTGGAGCCGTGCCCACTCACAACCCACGCAATCTAGATAATTCCACACACAGCTGCAATTCCAGGTTTTCAAACAGAGATGGTGACAAAGAGGCAAAACTTATGGACTGCAGCTTTAAAGAAGAATATAAAAAGAAGAAAGATGATGATAATGGCCAAATAACTGCAATTCTGTGTCTTGAATAATTTTTATTTAAATCTTTTTTTATTATAAAGTAATTAATTTAGTTGTAGTTTGTATTTATTCATTTTTTTAGTCTACTAGCATTTACTAGCAATCTTGTTAAAAGCATATGAGTTGTTCTTTTAAGTTATTTTTTTTCTGTGAATTTGTTGATCCACAAAATCAGGCTGAATGATTCATTCAAGACAGATCCAGTTCTTTCTCACTGAGTTCCAAAAATATGTGATGAGTTAATGATGACAGAAATCTTTCTGATGACAGAAATGTTTGTATAACAAATTATTATGATTGGTTATTGTTCTTGCAATTATTTGCATACTAACTTGTGGTCTTTTCGTTCTTGAAATGCATTTTTTTTAATCGTCTAAAGCCACCTTCATTCTGCAAAGATTGTTGCGTTGTGTGACAATTCTTGTCCATGGCCAATAGAACACAAGACACCGCTTTCATTTATGCAGAACAAAGACCTGAAACCGAAGAGTCCTAAAACCTCAACTCTATTCTTTAGCTATCTCGCAAGCACTGGTATTTCCTTAAGGAAACGATAATGTAGTTTCTCCCTCAACACCCCATCATTGTCTCCTACTCTCTTTCTCTCTCAATCTCCATCATTTCTCTTCCTCTCCCACCCTCTGTTTTGCTTAAACCACTGTAAACCTCCGGTCGGCAGTGCTCGGTGAGCCGTCCCCCGCAGCAGGCTTATTTACTCCAGTGTTTAATAGCCTGGGGGAGTGCATGAGCTATGATGACATCCTAGAATGACTCTGGGTACATTCTTAATAAGCTGCTGAGGGAATAGCGGAGGGGTGGGAGAGTGAGAGGCTGGAAAATGCAAAGAGAAAAGGGAGGGAGAGAGAAACCCCCCCCAAAGCGCTTGTCGGTGGCTGCTTAGACTATGAAGAACTCAGAGGCAAGTGATTTAACACTGTCTACAATTAAGCACGCCGTTTGCCAAGGTGTTTAAAAGTTGACCTACTATTTACCCTGCTAATAAAACGAGAAGTCGTTGGGAATAATTAGAGCAAATTGCTGTAATTACCAGTGGAGTTAAAAAATGATTGATGTAATATGCATGGACAGATCTGGAGCAATTTACAGACCACGATTATATGTGTGTGTGTTGTAGACATATCACTCGGTTCAAGACGTGCTGGTGTCTTGCGGCAGGAGGACTTTGTGCTACCCGCTCTATCGGCACTTCTCCCTGATCACAAGAGCTGTGAAAGACGTTGCTTGCATTTTTCAGTCTGGTGAGTTCTGTCTCTCTTTCTTTACTTTCCGGTTAAGCCCAGACCTTTTAGCCATTTCCAAGCCACCATGGGATCAAGTTGTATAGATGTTATTTTTGTTACTGATATTTTTTTTATGTTTAAGATAAAAAAAAAGAGGTTTTAACATTGGCATACATTGAGATATTCTTGAGAATGAACCTGACCTTCAACCTTCACATCCTGGTCAAAAAGCCTTCTCCTAGAAATTGTGTTATACTCTCTGATTATTTATCTCAAATATTGAAAAATAATTATAAATGTATAAAACAACCTTTTTGTTATAAGCATAATACGCTTAAAATTATTTTAATTTATTTTTATTAATTTAATTCATTATTTTATTTCATTATATATGCATTTATCTGATTTTAGGAGTGTTTAGATATTTTTTTACTGTAAAACAAGTTCTGATGGATTTTTTTTTTCTTAGTCGGAAATACGGCACTTTACTGAAGTGTGAGCTGCGAATGCTATCTCATGTTGACTTTAAGGGACTAATGAGAATAAGAGCTTGACAGGCAACCTATATTTACCCACAGCAGACAGCTGCTCACTCGGGACCAAATTTAACACAACGCTCACCAGCCCTCCCTGAACAGCGGGGTGCTTCGGTAAAAGACATTTTCCATGACAGGAAAGTCAACAGATTGGTCATGTCTTAGTGTGCTCGGTCTTGCTGTTCTGTCAGCGTAAGTGGGAGAGAGGTTAAGAACGAGGGAATCCGAGAGGGATGTCTCCTCACTTCTGAAGAAATCAGCAATTCTGCAGGGTAGACACTGTTGGCTTTGATATCTCAGAGTGGAGCAACCTTTAAATCAAAGAAGCCATCTGTGGGAGTGACAGAAGCTCTGTATAAACACGTTTTCGGGCGTGTGTGGTGCGATTATCCAACACGTGTTGATTTTAGCACTCATAAATAACTGCAGTTTCAGGGCTTGCAAGATTTGGGATTAGCAGGATATGGTTGATTGCAAAGTTAAGTCAGAAGAGAGACTACACGACAGAACAAGATTAGATGAGCAAAATCACAACTCACCGGTCACAGGTTCATGTCAGGTTCTGGCAGCTTCCTGCACTGACAAAAAATATGTACTCATGGAAGATTCCATAAAGGCAATGTGAAACAGCTTTTCAATCCATTTTAGGTCCATAAAAGGTTATTCAGTGAAGAAATGTAGTGTTCCTCCAACAAGAACTGATTTAATCGTGAAAAGTTGTTTCCTTATAACAGGTGGTTGAAAAACCAGCCAGAAAGTCTTTTAAGAGGTGGGCAAAAAATATATATATTTTGATGAAAAATGACAAATATAATTTATTTCTTAGGAAAATGGTCCACCACTAGATCTTTCACAGTAAGAGCAAGGATGTATTAAGAAAGTAGAGTCAGTTTAGCTTCCGGGTTGACTCTAAAGACCAGATTAAAACCAAAATCAACACTGTTTATTTTCATAATAAATATTGCCGTTCTTCTGTGCACATAATTCTAATAGGTTTCATAATGTGATCAATTTTCTTGCCTCAGAAACAATTTAACTCATGAAACCTTACAACAAAGTTACCTTAGTCAGTTGGACAGAGTGCAGAGTGCGTCCCTGTGATCTCCCTGATCAACTATGTATATAAAACCTGCCAGCAACCAGTAGTGCAGTGACTTAGTGATCTCCTGCAATTAAATCACTTGTCAGTGTCGAATGCTCTGTAATTGGGTTGAAATTGTATTTCAGATTAATTGTCTACCCTTAGAGGCTTTTAAATTTGCCTTTAGAGTATGATATCCATCTCCTCTCTGAGGTTTACACTGGTCATCTTACTCTTATCCTCAAGGTACAGATTTGTAAACACACTGCTGAGTTGTAATATACTCACTGGTGTATATTTTCATGCAGAGTCTGTGACATTTCACTCCAGTCTACAATTTGTAGATTTAAAACCATCAAAGTCCTGTGAGCGATAAGGTTCTCCTTTAATGAACGGTAACAGCGGTGTGACTCCCCTCAGAAAGCAGACTGCCCTGTCACACCGTGACTCCTGGGTAATTAATTTGTCAGCGGAACATGAATGGAGGTGTGTATCATACTCTAATTTGAGGCACTTCGTTTAACCAGCAATGAAAACAAACAGTAGGAAAACAAACCCATTAATGATGCTGCACGAGGAAAGCCGTGATGGGAAATGCTATCCAGGGGTAAATATTTGAACAGCCCTCTGGCAGCTTGTCTGGTTGTTCTCCCAGAGATCCTGCTAAAGCCAGCGGGCCCTCAAGGAAATTGAGGATGGAGACGGTGAGTAACGTCCTAGAAGATGCACTGTGGGCAAATATAAACGCTCGTATATAATCTGAACGTTCAGAGGCTTGCCTGTATTTCATTTAACTGCATAGCTTGGATTCAGTTTCCACTTGTTTTGCTCTGCACTGGTATCGGCTTGCAAGCAGTGTTTCACAACTTTTTGTTATAACTACCTCCATAGCACCGTGTTAAATGCCTTGTATTTATACAGGCCTTAATTGCTGGCTTAAATACCCCTTCATCAACATGTATGTACAGTTAGAATTTAATAGAACTGTTTTCTACTTAAAATATATTTTAAAATGCAATTTATTTCTGTGATGTAAAGGTGATTTTTCAGCAGTCAATAATCTAGTCTTCAGTGTCACCTAATCCGTCAGAAATCATTTAGACTGATTTGGTGCTCAAGAAAGATTTATTATTATTATCTATGTTGAAAACAGTTGCTGTTTAATATTTTTGTGGAAACCCTAATAGATCTTTTTTAAGCGTTCTTTGACTATACAGTTCTAAAGTACAGAATTTATTTGAAATAGAAATAGTTTGTAACATTATAAAAGTTTTTACTGTCACTTTTGATCTGTTTAATCAAGCAGTTTGATCCATTTAACTTTCAAAGGGTAGTATACATTTATGTTTTATAAATGTTTTTTTTTTTTTTTAGGAAGTTGTTTTATCTTTTGGTTTGGAAGAAGGTTAATTTTCATGGCATTTTAAAAACCCTTTCACATCTCACAGAGCTTGACTTTTTTTATTTTTTGCCAAGTTCCATCATCGCTTATTGAGATTCATTGTTTTGCTCAGCAGGAATTGTCATCTCTAAGCCAACGTAATCAATCTTAAGTACATTGCTGGATTCACAATGATAGATGTAGGCCATTTGATGCAACATCATTTGATGTCACTGTTCTTTAATGTAATTTTTGCAGCTGTTTCTCGAGGTTAGCTGCTTTGTTCAGTCATGTTAGGGTTTTCCACACGGCAAGCAGTCAGTGTCATCATTTTGTGTGATTAATAAATTGGTGGTTTGAGGCTAAATCTCACCAAGCTTGTCAACAACATATCCAGGTCATATTTCACACCTAAATCAAAGAAAAAAAAAATGTTTGTGTGATGGACCTTTTATTTTGTTTTGCATTTTTACATGATTTTCATGACAAATGAGCACGTTATACCGTCATATTTTATATTATTAAAATAACCAATAAAAAATCTTTCTCCGCTCGAAAAGTAGCTGTGTATTCGAATGAAATAAAATTCTGTGAGATTTAAATATTGGCACCCCGTGGACCTTTACCATCTGTACTTCCAGGGCCTTAATCTCACTTTATCACCCCATTCCTCTTCTCTCTCTTCTTTGCTCTCCTCTCCTCAACTTCTTCCCCTGAGATAGTCCAGTTGAAAAATGTGCATCTGAAGTTGTAGGCTCGGTGCCCAGATGCAATAAATGTCCTGAGGGGATTGCACTGACATTTTTCAGTCCTATGTTTTTGCCAAAGTGTAGATTTTATGGCAAGAATGCAGCCTTGACATCAAATTAATAATGGATGTGTAAAATGGCAGACTTTAAATGTGCCTGTTTTCTCAATGAGACAAAGGGAGAAAATGAGGAAGAGAGACAGAGGTGGGTACAGAGACTCTTTGTCCGCGGTCGTCAGAGAACTGCAAAGTTCCACCATCTATGTGCTGGAAAACTTAATCACGCTTACTGGGCCTCTGAGTTAAAAGGGCAAATTAGTCAAAGCACTATCCTGTCTTTATTCCCTCTTTTTCTTCTTTAAATAAAATGAACATAAAATATTAAAAACTGGGGGGAAAATAGGGTGACTAAGGGTCCTTAGGGTGACTGTGCACCTTGTTCTCCATCGATCACTAAATGCATCATCTGAGGCATCAGTAGCATTGACCTGCGAATGAATGCTTGTGTTCCTCTGTTCCTCTTCCTCTTCAGCACTTTTGAACAGAACAAAAGAAAAACAGACCGGAGAGAGTTGAAAGGCACAGCTTGCAGGATCTGCGACAGCACTCTAGTGCCGCTGATGTATCTTAGTCATACCTTGAGGTGTTTGACATCTCTCAACAGCACACTGAAAATTGATTTCCAGTTTGCATCTTTTTAGAGTATCTTTAGTTGTCTTGAAACACTGCTGCAAACTTTTCGTTTGAGTTCAGACAAAGCCCCTCTTGTCATGGGAAGTGACTGCAGGAGACTTGCTCCTCCTTTTAAGTGCTGGAGCGTTTGATCAAATCCCCACTGCTCTGGTTCATGTAGACAACTCCCTGTTATCATAGAAGGTTTGTTGTGACAGCGTTTTCAACATCTGACATATCCTCTGTCAGATGATTTAAACAATTCTCGCTTCCAAAGAAATCCTCCCAGAAGGATGCCCCAGTCCAGTTATCTGAGCAAGTTATCTTTGGCTGCATTCACACAACGGCAGAATGTGCTTATCAGTCTTTGTGTAGAATGCTTAACTGTTATTAATTTCACAGCAGGTCTGGGCAAAATCTATCTATCCATCCATCCATCTGTATATTGTTCTTTTATTCTATCCACCCATCTGCATATTGTTCTGTCGTTCCATCCATTCATTCATCCATCCATCCATACAGTATATTGTTCTATCGTTCCATCCATCCATACAGTAAATTGTTCTATTGTTCCATCCATCCATCCATACAGTATATTGTTCTATCGTTCCATCCATCCATCCATACAGTATATTGTTCTATCGTTCCATCTATCCTTTCCTCCGTATGTTGTTCTA